TCATGGTTGTACAGCAGTGAAGCATCGGTGTTGAACACTGATGTCATGCTGTTGATGATGATGGTGATGATGACGAAGGGGCAGTCGGAATAATTCACTTGAGACTTCAGTTACGAGAAGTTCACTCGACGCTATTCACCGAGTACGCGACAGTGATTGTTGAATCCGAAATAAAAAGGGATGCGCGCACGAGCGTAGTCATGACAACGGAGCTATACCTTTTGCAAATGGACACCGTTTTTTCTTCGGATGACAGGAAGTTCAATGCTGACATTTACTTTGCGAGTATGGGGGTCACGTGAAACCGGCCACATGGTTACAATTCAATCGGACCGACAAACCGACCCATGTAGGTCATCATTCTACTGTTCGGTGGCACCGATAGCCATTTGGAGATTTAGCGTGCCATTGTTCTGCACCGTTTCGCCACTAAGATGCCACTTCCTATCAATCTGAGGTAAACCGTTTACTAGTGACCAGTAGTTGATTAGTGCCACAGAATACATGGCCATATGGTTGCTCACCTGATGTTCTTGGGTGGAACTTGAGCAGGGTGAGGCAATCTAATCAACTGTTTGTCAGATGCATCTACAAGCCCGTTTCATGCGACACGTGTACACGGTGAGCGCAAACGTGTAAGTGCGTGAGCAGCCCCCCGAAGATTAGAATTACGAGGCACCTGACCATGCACAGGACGAATGAAACTCCAAGGTCACGGAAATGAAAACTTTGTGAACAGAAATGTACAAAGGATGAATTGACCGATATCAGAGTATAAAAACCGCACCGCGCTCTACAAAATCTTTGTGAGTGCATTGGTTCGTATGCCCGGACAATCTGGTGTGTTGAAATCATGACGTCATGTAGAATACCGTTCGATTTAGCGCAAAGATTGGACAATGTAGAACATTTTATTGGTGTTTTGTCAAGGTCAACTTCGGAAGAAATTATTCGATGCATTTTTAGCCAAGGAGACGCTTCGGTTTTTTTCCAAATATGGATAGATAAAAACATCTACGGTCTGGTAAGTGGAGTGATACTGAGGACTGTTGACTCATTCACACATATTACGGTTGTATCTGACGCATAACACTGAACTCACGAATCGCAGAAGTGCACAATCCACCATGGTTGTCTCCATGACGGGCAGTCTCAGTTTCCATGTCAGAAATCCCATCAATTCGTGCACAGCTTTCGGGCGATGAATCGTACAACCAAAATCGTCTTGGAGACTGCCACCTGCCTCGAGTTTTGTACCCACTACCAACCTTCGAATCCGACTACTGAACGGTAACGCAATATATCGATCCTCTCAAATGCACCATTTTGATCCCAATGTAAGTTACAAAAAACGGTCAGTATCATTTTGACACGCACAAACACTCCGAGCTACCGAAATTCTTCGTCGAAACGGCGATTGCGCTGTTCCTGGAATTTCTTTTTCATGCCGCTATAGTTAGAGACATTCTACCAATTTTCGGCGTGCTTATAAACCAGTGACCATCTCACGATGTCTAAGTTCGAACCCCGTCATCCTTAATAAGTCATTAAAACAAACGTCGCCCGTAAGTCCCTTTATACCTCTCAGAATGCAGTTTGTTTTTGTGTCGAAATCACGTAAACTTTTGAAAATGATTCGCCTTTCCCCAAACTGATGATCTGCGTCGTATGCTGTGGGTTTTCCTCGCCACCTTGCTGTCTTTTCCAGCATGGTCTGACATTTCCACACTGTTCACACACAAGACTCCGTGACCTAGTTTTCATCCAATTCGAGGTCGGAAAAATTATAGTTCAATCAGCTGATGTCATGCGGAAGCATGCTGCAGATTTGCCTAAAGCCACACCTCATAGTATTAACCCGTGTTAACTACTTCAGAGTGGTTCAATCGCTTTACCAGCAAATTCACATGCATCCCATGTTCATTGGTCACTCTGAACGAATAATCCACCAGACACCATAGTGAGTGGAACGAATAATCCACCAGACACCATAGTGATTACTCCTCAGCCTGGGTGTCATGAGCCCCCAGAAGACATCAGCCAGCTGGCTCGTCCGGCAAACAACACTCAGGTCATCGATCGATCGCACCGATCAGCTGATTGGTCCAGCGCTACGCAGATAGATAACACGAAAACACATTACCGAAAACACGTGTCACCCAGACACCTACCCAGTGATGATCAACCAGAAGGCTTTGTGTAAGCAATAGTTTTACGAGTTGATCCGGGCACAGAACAAAAGAAAGTACGATACGAAAGCGTGAAAGCGTTTTTTCTATACATCAACAGTAGGAGGACATTGTGTTGTTTGGGCGAAATGCATGGATCTATTAAGAGAGATAAATATCACACGCACGGGCGCAAAGCTCAGTGTTAGTAAAGAACCAGTCGTGCAGAGTGTGGTGCGCCAAAATACAACTCCTGAATAGACAGTTCTTAGTGTGTGTGTGTATGAGAGAGAGAGATAGCGAGAGCAAACAGAGCGATAGAAGAGACCCTCTGCGAGTAGAAGAGATTGGTGAAGCAGTAAGTCGCTCTAATCTTTGGAGTGGGAACCAACAAAGGAAATCAGTCAATCAAATAATCAGTGGTGTGTGTGTGAACCTGAAACGCACTGTAGGCGGGGGAACGGAAACAGTGGGAATCGGTGTCGCTTTTTAACCTGTTTTTCTGTTTGCTGTGGACGGATTTTTTTGGGGAGACAAGGGAAACGCTATCCAGAGCATGATTTGGAAGATTATCCCGTCGTCATTATCATCAACATCATCGGATTATACAGGCAGATGACATACAGGTGCACACGCAACAGTGGTAGCATAAATGCGAGGGTACGATTTCAAGGGCGTGGGTGTGACGTACAGTCAGACTGAGTTGAGTTGAGTTGAGGCAAGATAATAACAGAAGACTGGTAGTACTCTGGCCAGGCGTCCATTACGAAATTGAACCAGGAGAGTGTGATACCTATTGAGAAAGAATAAAAGAGGGAGAGAGTGATCAAGGGGCACACACACTTCGCTGAAAGAAGTTGTAGCTGTGAAAATGGTATGATAATCGAACAGCATGTCAGACGAGTAAGGGACACACACTTTGCTGAAAGAAGTTGTAGCTGCGAAAATAGTATGATAATCGAACAGCATGTCAGACGAGGCAGCAATGACCGAATGTTATAATCCACTCTTACCAGGAAGTTTCCGCGTAAACTCTCAGTCCATTGCCATAGAAGAAGGCGCAACAGAGAGCACAGGTTCCTGTCCCACTGTCTCCTCAGAAACTGATCGTAACCTGACTGTACTACTACAGGTCTTATGTTTTCGACTATCAAATTGAACTTGAAATTGAACTACTCAGTTCGCTACTACAGCATTACAAGTAATCCATGACAAGAAAAGTTCCTCCTAGAAAATCCACGATAGCCACAAGCCAGAGATAACTCCCACAATCGAAAAAAGTTCCATCGTTCGGTTCAGTACCTCTTGGGGAATTGTTTTGGTTTTGAGGAAGGTAAGATGCGACTGTGCTCCAGACTCTATTGGATGATTAGCTCCGAATAATCGAAACACCCTTGAATTTTCAGCCAAACGAGTAGTCTTGGAAAACCTGTAAACCTCGTGAATGAGGAACAATTGTCACAGTTCGGTTTGACGAATCGGAAACAGATAGCCATGCACTGCAAGCAGTCGCCGGCATCACTGAATTCGAGGTATTCATTGGAGATATCGGAAGTCACAAACTGAGGGTAATAGCTTGGATGCACGCATCCACCGATAAAAGTGCGCTGACCGGCCAGTTGTTTCGTTCAGTCCGGGATCGTTCCAACTACTATTCCCCCCTCCCAACCCTGAGAACCCTGTTCAAGGGTATTCGATGTAGCCGGGTGCAGGTTCGAAACCGAATATACGGAGGGTATATTGTTGCGCTCGGTCATCAGTAAAGCAACCTTCATTGTGTACAATAGAACGCTTGATAAATGGAAACCATCTAGACGATAGCTTGTCCGGAATAATGTCTCAGCTGAAGTATGATGTGTGTAAAAGTTGTGATCCACAAGCTCTTCTTAGCTTTCTGTAAAAGGAATCAAACTGAAGCACCTTTGGTAACGAATATTGGAGAGTTGGGACCATAAGTTTGGCGTCAGAATAAGGGAACCGGATATGAGATATTACGCAGTATCAGGACAACTCAGAGGAACGGTGCGTGGTGCGTCACTGGGCGATCGATCGTGTTCATCCAACAATCCGCCCTCCTCGCTCTCCACATTATTTCGTCAATTCGTATGGAAATGCCTGCCAAGGTGATGTTGTATATTAGCAGAAAATTGTGAAGACAGCTAGTGAAACAATCACGTGACCAGATGGAATTCCGCCTGACTGATCCTGTGCACAACGTTTGCAGAAAGCCAAAAAAGGGTGAAGTTGTTCCATTCCCACTTAACTTCATGATCGATGAAATCATGAGACGAACGCTAGAAAGTCTCCAAAACCCTGGTGTTCACATAGCCAGTGAAGAAAATCTTGCCGATCTGGAATATGCAGACGACATCGTTCTCATGTTCGAGGAGGAGGAGAAGGCGCAAGTATTCTTGGATGAACTGACCA